AATGAAGTTAGGCTTCTCTCAGGTGCCTCCTTAGGCTTTTCTTCTATAGAAGTGACTGAACTTTACCATYCTTGATCTGCAACTGAGGTGCTGTCCCAGAGGGAAACGTCTCAGACTGTACTTACTGCAAAGGCCTTTACAACGGAAGGGCTTGGTGCAGTATGTGGGATATCCTGGAAAGACCTCTTCTTTCTTCCCACCGCATATCTGCAGGGCAGGTTCTCACTTATTTCTTGTTTCATCTTCCAGACAGATTCACCTGCTCTCCTGAGGGAACCTGGGTGGATCAAGATGGCCAGGTGAAGACTCCTGTCTGTTTGCCAGGTCAGCATTGTCTGGTTACTAGCAATCTATGCTGGGAATTAGTGTAAAACAAAGAGAGGATGCAGGGCAGAAGGTGAAGAAATAATATTTTTGGTATTCTCACTGAGGGAGGACAGGGAAATCTATCCAAAAAGGTAAAAATAACATCAAGTTGAATGGCGAAGAGTGTAGGAAAGAAAGAGACCAGCCAGTGTAAGAGAGCTTGTGACAGTCTCTTTACCTCTCTCTGCAGTGTGTGGGAAGCCAGTCAAGCCCGTTATTGAATTCCAAAGGATCCTGGGCGGCCGTTCAGCAAAGCATGGCAACTTYCCTTGGCAGGCTCTGACCAGAATCCACGGCCGTGCAGGTGGTGCACTCCTGAGTGATCGCTGGATCTTGACCGCTGCCCACGTCATCTTACCCAAAGGGGCAGTGGAGAGCAATAAAAGCCTGGATGAGGTGGCAGAGGAGGTCGAGGTTTTCCTTGGCCACACAGTGGTGGATGAGCTCCGCAAGTTGGGTAACCACCCTGTGCGCAGGATCTTTATCCATCCAGACTACAACCCTAAAGATGATTACAACTTCAACGGAGACATTGCACTGATAGAGTTGAAACGCCCAGTGACCCTGGGCCCCAGCATTCTGCCCATCTGTCTCCCAGACGCTACCAACACAACGTTCTACATGGACGGGCACATGGGCTATGTGAGTGGCTTTGGAGTGGAAAAAAACTTCATTGCAAACCATTTGAAGTATGTGAACTTACCAGCAGTTTCCCGGGAGAAGTGTCAGAGATGGCTAGATAGTTTAAACAGGGAAACACCTATGGTTTTCTCTGAGAACATGTTCTGTGCTGGCTCCCTCTTAGAGAGAAAGGATACCTGCCAGGGGGACAGCGGGAGTGTCTACACAGTGTTGGATACAACAAGYGGTCAATGGATAGCTACAGGTATTGTTTCTTGGGGTATTGGCTGTGCTAAAGGTTATGGTTTCTACACCAAGGTCCTCAACTATGTGGACTGGATCAAAGAGATAATAAGGGAGGACAGGCTCTGAATGTTGCTGTCGCATGAGCTGACAAATCACTGATATCACAGGTTTCCAGCCACAGCAAATCCTGTTTGAAGCTCTTGATGGTGTCTCAAAGGCTTCTCAAACACACAGACGATGTCAACTCCGTCATAAACACTTCTGAAAGCCACCGCACTGATTGATGAGTTATTGGTGATATCAAATCTTGCCAAAGCTGCTGTCTCATTGGCTGAAGCCTTTATGGAAATTCTGATTCTTTCAAATGCAATTATACTATTGGATGTAGCAATTTTACTATTGGATGTAGCTATTATCAGCAATGACATCCAACATGCTATTCTCTGAAGTACTGATACCATAAGGCAACTGCAGTCTAATTCCCTGTACTCTGGGAAGTCTGCAGCAGGCCTTCTTGAAGAATGTTATGTTTTGTGCCGAGTTCAGTGTGCATATGCCTGTTGGCATCAGTGACATTCTATCAGTATTAAAATCATTGCTATAGAAACCAGATATGTTGTGTTTTCCTCTTTAATGACTACTAAATATTCACCACCACCAAAAGCAACTTGCAGACTGTAACTRTATTGGGCTTGCTTTACCTACTACTAAAGTGCTTCCTGGTCTACAATGGCGATATAGCAGTTGTTCAGCTGGCACAAAATTAGCATTATAAAGAACCCTATAATCTGAAATTCTGTATGGCTTCAGGGGGAGGATGGAGAGGAGTGAAAATAAATTGACTATGTGAAGCCATTTCCAAAAATATGGTCTTCATCAAAGGCCAAAGGGAAAGTCCAAAGAAAGAAAGACTTTCTCTTGATGGAGGAGGAATAGGTTAGGGAATGCTTTAGCAAACTGGATAACACAAGTCCATGGATCCTGATGGGTTACACCAAAGAGTGCTGAAAGAGATGGAGGGTATCATTGCTGGGCCACTCTCAGTGATCTTTGAAAGACTGTGGCAATCAGGAGAAGTGGCTGAGAAGTGGAAGAAAGCAAATGTCACTCCAATCTGCCACAAGGGTGTGAAGGAAGACCCAGGGGCTGAGGGTTGGTCAGCCTCACCTCAGTCCCTGGAGGGAAGGTAATGGAGCAACTAATCCTGGATACTATTTCCAAGCACATGAAGGACTAGAAGGTAATGGAGAGTTGTCAACATGATTTTACAAAGGGGAAATCATGCTTAGCCAACTCAATAGCCTCCTATGATGAAATGACTGTCTGGGTAGATCTGAGGAGAGCGGTGGATGTTGTCTGTCTTGATTTTTACAAYTGTCTCATATAATGTACTTGTAGGCAAGCTCAGGAAGTAAAGGCTAGAGAAGCAGACAGTGAGTAGATTGAGAGCTGTTCAAAAGACTGAGGTCTGAGGGTTTTGATGAGTGGCACAAAGTGTAGTTGGAGGCCAGTAACTAGCAGTGTACACCAGRGGTCAACTTTGGGTTCAATACTGTCCAATTTATTCCTCAGTGACTTAGATGAARTGACAGAGTGCACCCTCAGCAAGTTTATTGGCAATCCAAAACTGGGAGGAGTGGCCAGTACATTAGAAGGCAGTGCTGCYGTTCAGAGTGAACTTGACAAGCATGAGCAGCAAGGAACCTCATGAAGTTCAACAAAAGGAAATGCAGAGTCCTGCACCTGGGAAGGAATAATCCCATACACAAGCACTGTCTGGAGGCCGGTTGCTGTAAAGCACCTCCRCAGAGAAGGACCTGGAGCCCTGGTGGATAGCAAGTTGTCCATGAGCCAGCAATGTGCCCTTGTGGGCAAGGCAGGCAATAGTATCCTGCACAGTGTTAGGATAGCATTGCTAGCTCAAGAGAGATGATCATGATCTTCCCGTTCTACACGGTCCTGGAGATCCCTCATCTGGAGTAGTGTCCAGTTCTGGGCTCCAAAGTATGAGRGAGATGGAGCTACTGGAGTGCATTCAGTGCAGGGCTGATACGGTAGAATCATAGAATCYTTAAGGTTGGAAAGGACCTCTAGAGATCCTCTAGTCCAACTCCCYTGCACACACGGGGTCATCTAGATAGAGCATGTGGCACAGGATTGTGTCCAAGAGTCCAGAGAAGGAGACTCCAGAATCTCTCTTGTCAACCTGTTCCAGTGCTCTGTCACCCTTACTGTTAAGAATTTTTTCCTTATGATGATGATTAATCAACAGGAGCATCTGTCATATGAGTAAAGTCTGAGAGAGCTGGCACTGTTTATCCTTACAGAAAGAAGAGAAGAGAAAGCTTGAGGGTGATAGTAGGGGTAGGGGAATGTTATCAATGTATGTAAATACCTGAAGGGAGGCTGGAAGAAGATGGAACCATCTCAGTGGCCCAGATGACAGGGCAAGAGGCAATGGGCGCAAACTGCAGCACGGGAGTTCCCTTTGAACATAAAGGAAGAACTTGTGTCCTATGAGCATGACTGAGCACTGAAACAGGTTGCCCATAGAGGTTATGGAGTCCCCATCCTTAGAGATACCCAAAACCTCACTGGACTTTGTCCTAGGCAGAGGTGACTGAGCTTGAGCGTTGGTGGAAGGGGGAGCTAGACGATCTTCAGAGGTTCTCAACCATTTTGTGATTCTGTGAAAAACAAAACCCACTGAATATCCAGTAGGTTACAGTTGCGGGGAATGCAGTATATAATTACTAGCTCAAAAGTAAAATAGCAGTTTGCATACATGCTTAGGAATTGAAGGTTCTTGAAATGCGTGCAGCGATCTATATGAAGTCTCCCAGGTGCTATACCGACCCTCCTTACCACTGATACAGAAAAAAAAAATAGACCGAAAGAACCTCTGATGACAACAGGACTAACTTCAAAGCTTAAGGACCTTGCCTAGGCCAGTTCTGGAGATCTCTATGAACAGAGATTGCCCAGCCTTCTGGGGCACCAATTCCAAGGCTGAAACACTCCCAAAGGAAGAAAATCTTTGTGTCCAATTAGAAATCGCCTAATTGCAATCTGTGCCTGTTGTCTCTTGGCCTTCTGCTGTTCACTTCTTTAAAGAATGTCTGACTTCTAATACTCCTTTAGGGAGCTGAAGACAGCAGTAAGATCCTCCCTTAGAYTTCTCCTTTTCAAGTTGAACAAATACAGCTCCCTCAGCCTTTCTTCATATACCCTATGCACCAGCCCTCTGACCATCTAAGTGGAAAGCTATCTATGAGGAATTTGGGACTTGAGCTAGCAGAAGACATCCCTAAARTGCATCAAGTAATCTTCTATAACAATGCCTTCCCTAATTCAAGCAACCTTTATTTCTTACCCAACACAACAAAGTCTGAAAAATAAAGCCCTAAGGGCAGGTGATTGTGTGAAGTTGGATGGTGTCTCTTCTGCTCAGCTTGATTCTGAAATCTGAAATCCTTATTGCTGGTAATGGTTGATTACTGAGACGCAATCTCAGAAGAACCTTAGAAAAATACTCCTAGGTAGAGAGGTGAGGTACCACAATTTACAGCTTAACAAAAGCTTTGGAGTTGGTAGCACAGTGGGTCTTACATAATTTGACACTTGATTAGGCATTCTTAAGGAGAATTAACTCTAGTCTGAGAAAAAAGGCAATTGGCACATGGTAAAGAGATTTGGACGTTCTTTAATGCTTTTATATATTCTGAATGATAAATACAGAAGTGAGACACCAGGCTCAGAACCCACCCTGGGAATCAACAAGTATTCTCTCCTGTCTTCATTGATGTCTCTATTACTTTGAGCGTGACTACATTTTCTCTAAGTAGAAAAAGATGGGATAGAAAAAAAGTGAGAGGACACACAAGGGCTTCTTTATTTAGAATAATATGGTCCTCTTCAGCTGCTATGAGTAGAGAAAGAAATTCCATTCCTAGACATAATGACAGTAGGAGAGACAGATATATATTCCTGACTCTCCATTCAGCACAGAGATAATGACCTTGTTGGCTTGTTAGGACCACAGGGCACCTTCCTACCTCAACATGTGGCACTCACATCTAGGAAAACTGACAGTGCTTAAGGGAGAAAGAGCTAATCCTGCCATGTTTCTGGGTCCTCATGCTTGCTCATTGTCTCTGTAATCCAGTCCAAATAACGCACTACTTTTGTGTAAAGACCAAAGGTGCCACATCTTGGTCCCCAGGAGATGAGTCCAGCGACATAGTATCGGTTGTCATAAAGGGGATCTGGGATGGCATAAGCTCCACCACTATCTCCCCTACAGCTGTCCTTGCCACCACCAGCACAGATCATATTGTCGGTGAATAGGTAAGCGCTGGAGTCAGCAGAGCCCTCTGGCTTAACAGAACGGCATTGATCCATGTTCACCACAGGAATCTGGGCTTTCCAAAGCCAAATAGGAAGTCTTCCTTTCTCTCTCTGGCCCCAGCCAGCGATATAACCTAGAGTCCCTTCCTGCAGCTCATATTCAGGTGATTTACCAGGAAGACAGAGGGGTGAGATGTTAGGGCCCATCTTCACAGGTTCTCTCAGCTTCAGTAGCGCAATGTCATTGTCAAAATCAGTCCTGGTTTCTGGAGGCTGATTCTTCCAACCAGGATGGATGAATGAAGCCTCTGGAATCAGTTGTGTGCCCTCACGGAGAAAAGATTCTCCAGCGACATTGATTACACCAGCATACATATTGGGCCTGTCAAATTCCTCCACCACATGAGCTGCAGTCATTACCCATCTTTCAGAGATGAGCACCCCACCTCCTCGTGGGTTTGCAAAATAGACCTGCCAGGGAAAGTTGCCCTTTGCTGCAGGTGTTCCCCCGAAAATCTTCGCTGTCTCCTGGATACGTTTACTAGGCACGCCACAAACTAGGAAGAAAAGAAAAGAAAAAAAAGGAATGAAAAATGAGAATTTGCATTTACAAGTTCTTTAGTGCTACTAAAAAGTCCATTGTGCCCTTCTCTCTGTCTTCTATAAATCTTTTCTTTTTTTTTGGGGGGGGGGAGGGATCTGCATAATTAATATTTTGTGCCAGAGATTTTACAGCTAATGTTTACAGAAAATATCAAGAAAATTCAAGCAAAAATACTGTCAACATTCAACACAAGTTGAAAATACCCATTTGCAAATCTTGTTCTGGAAAGAAAGAACATTCACAACTGCTGTCAGCCAACGAGCACTGAGTACGTCAAAGCTCACAGCTTCATTCCATTCTACTTAGCATGTCTGCTTTGCTAAATGCCTYCTGTAAGCAAATGGATTGTCTTTGAAAGAACATTTCCTTAAGTTCTCAGAAATCTGACATTACTACCTAAATCTGACATTACTGTCTAAAAGTATTCATGTCTGAACTCCAGATCATTTCAGGGTAAGTGTTCTGGTTTGTATTTGTCATTGACATTTTACCAGTGTTCCTCCCTGTTCTTTCAGTATGTAGAATCTTAAGCAGTGAGTTAATGAAGATCTTATCTGTGAGTCTCATAGATGCTGTGTAATCCTGGAGCAAAACTAGTAAGATTTAGCAAAGTGAGAGGCAAAAATAAGGGTAAAAATGAGACTGACCATTCTGACATAAGTAGGAAACGGGTTTTTTTTTCACATTGCTTGGTTTGCATTGAACCTCCAGTCATATAGGCCAGAGATTCAAGAATTGTAACTACCTAAAAGTCTTTCTTACACACTTCCATAGAATGATAAAAAACCTTATGCTGGCAGGGATTGGATCTCAAGATGTCTTTATCATCCCGATGTGTTCTTCCCCTGCCTTTGTAATGGCAAAGCTAGATCAGATTGATCAGGCCCTTGTCTAGGAAGATTGTGAGCATTTGCAAGGTTGGTGATTCCTTAGCCTTCCTGCACAACTGTTCCAGTGCTCTGAGGGCGGATTTTTCCTTAAACACAGTCTGAATTTGTTGCAGCTTTTATCCTTTGGCTGCATCCCTGTGWGAAGACTCTGTCTTTGTTATAATCCCCTTTAAGGTAATAAATTCACATAGAATCATAGRGTGGTTGAGGTTGGACGGGACCTCTAGAGATCACCTAGTCCAACCCTCTGCTCCAGCAGGKACACCCAGGTCGGCATCCAGGCGGGTTTGGAAGATCTCCAGAGAAGGAGACTCCACAGCCTCCCTGGGCAGCCTGTGCCAGGGCTCTGTCACAGTGAAGAAGTTCTTCCTCACATGGAGATGAAACTTCCTGTGTTTAATTTGTACCCATTACCCCTTGTTCCGTCRCTGGCCAACACTGAGTAGAGTTTGACCCCGTCCTTTTTACATTCTCTCCTCAGATATTTGTATTTGATAAAATCCCCTCTATTCCCATAGCTTCATTTTTCTATTTGGCTTCTAATGATTTTGTGCACTTGTGTAGCCTTAGTCACTAGCTGGGCTGGTCTTTAAAGCTGTTGAACCACCCTCAGCTGGGTCTTGTACTTCAAAATGCCAGTGAGGACTTAACGGGRAATGGAGTTCTCAGCGGACACGGGGCACAAGTAGCCCTAGGAATGCTGCCACCTAAGACGGGAATGGTAAACTGAACAGCCCACAGAACACAAAAGATCTAGCTTTTTATTAGCTAAAAAATGAGATTCAGACRTAACTACTTGCAGTCAGGAGCAGTAGTAGTAGTAGGAGTAGTACTCACCTGCTTCCCTTCTCAGTCTTCCTTAGTACACACAGCGAAGAGATGATTAAAAGCTTGTGAATAAAGATATTTCTTGAGATGTCAGACCCAGTATGTCTGGTATTGAATGACACACCCTCCTTAAGAGCTGAGGCTATGACTTCCAGTGACAGTAGGGAAAGTTCTTTTGTTATAGCACTGCACCAGTAGTGTCAAGTGGACAGCTGAACCCTAGAGGAGTTTGAAGAGAAGCTACAACTCTCAGTGTAGCTTGAGGAGGACTGAAGAAGAAAAGGTCCAGTACAGCACTGCTGGATTTCTCTTCTGATCTGCCAGGGTTTAGYTGGTTTTGTTTGTTTGTTTTGTTTTGTTTGGCTGCTTGCAAAGCAAAGATCTAGAGTTCTGAACAACTTGAGAATATAAACATCTGAAGGAGGGGAAACTGGTTCAGAAGCACACACACACATACACTTGAAGAGGTCCTGTTATATCAGACATCCTATTGAGTTGCCTGCCTTTCTTACCAGGTTCTTTTTGCTCTTTCCACTGATCTTAAGATCAGTGTTGTACCCTGTCCAACRTGTTTCAAACTGCACAGCAGGAATCAACTGTTATTTCAGGCCTACCATTTTTATAACAGAGAAATGAAAGAGGCAAAGGTCTTTAGACACCACAAGCATATATACACAAATTATGGAAGTACCTGGGACACATTTTGGTAGCTTTGTTCCCATCTTTTCATTGACCCATTGTCCACTGGCTGAGCACTGATACACAACTTGGAAAACACAAAAGAGAAGAGTGCTATAAAGACATGTTCAAGATCAAAARAAGATAAATAGCATTACTACATAAGTTGATGTCTTGACTTTCACATGTCCAAAGCAAGCGCAGCTGGGTAAACATTGTCAAGATAGCACTTTAATAGGATATTTCCACTCCTATTTTAGAGGGATGTCATTTAACAGGTCTCTTAAGTCTTTTACTTCTCCACCAGAAATGTGTGCCAGATGGGACAAAAATCTCCACAGTTCATACAGCTGGAGAGAAGGACTGCTAATACAATTAAGATCAACAGTCCAAGTATATTATGAACATTATGACAGTGCATTAACCAAAAATGCAACACAAAACTACTGGTTACAACCTCACACTAAAAGGAACCTTTTCTCAGGCTTAACCTGTAAGGATATGATCTCAGGCGCAGGATGATGCCTGGACCTTTTCTTAGTCTTTTGATTAATGGACTGTATTTGTGTAGCACAGGCAATGCCTACCTTCACTTTCGTTTTTCAAAGTGTAATAAGGTGCATCACAGACATAGCGGAATACGGCTTTATACAGAGGCTCATGAAGCTCGGAGATGTATATGGCTTGGCCATTGTCAATAGGGACAGGTTCACCACAATTCACAGCTGTAGAGAAGAAACAGAAATGATCAAAGATAATCAAAGGGCCATTCCCATACCACTGTTTGTTTGTTTGTTTTCTATAGAGTGGGGAACCCCTCAGCTCCTCTGGTACTTGTGTGGTCATCAGTAAGTACTTCCTCTGTCCCTTCAGTGTGCTCATAGCCCTGTCCTCACCTTCTTCCTAGCCTGCAGATACAGTGGGCTAGAGCATAAAGACTTTATTCCAAACTGCCTTCTTCCATACAGGGTTGGGGCACTTACGAACACAGCTTAGGTGGGAGTTGGTCCATTCACCATTTTCTTGACAGCTGGAGTAAAAAAACCTTATGGTATCTCGTTCCTAGGGAAAAGAACACATTACTGTGCGACAGTGAAACATATCTAAAATAAGCACTGCAGTGAAAGGTCCTCAAAACACTGTAGCCACAGCTTATTACAGCAAAAACTTTTGAGTCCCAAGGTGCTCAGAACATCTGGTAAGAAATTAACCCTCTGGCAGGAAACTTACCCTCACAATTTCATAGCCTTCCACACAGGTCACTTTGACATTGTCCCTGAGGACATACTTTTCCTTCTTCGGTTCAAGAACAGAGTTGGAGATGACACTCTGGCGGCAGGTTATGGCTTTGGAGAGAAAGGAGGACCTCAGTGATTACTGGTTTGAGCTTTACTCTCCTTCCATCTCCCAACACCTCTCTCCTGACTCATTATTTTCACTAGTCAACAGGAATTCTCTGTTTAGCCAATAGCCCCTTAGCTCTGTCTAGCAAACTTAACAACTATGAACATGTTATCCTCCAGTTGTACTATGAATCTGACCTGCTAGAACAAGCCCTCTTGCAGCCAAGAAAATGCTTCCCAAGTGTTTACTCACGATCCCCACGGTAGCGTATTTTCCAGCCTTTGTGTTGTACTCTGTGGTCTGTTTGGAAGATGATGTTAAGAATGTTGTTCCTAGTTTTGATTTCTGGAGGACCTGGGAATTTGCTGCCACAATAAGGACCAAAATGCTGTTCTCCAGAGACAAGCTGGGAAAACAAACAAAGAAACAAAAACAAGAAGAAATGAGAAATAATTACTGGAATCAATTGAGAGATTCCCAAGTACTTTAAAAGGCAGCACAGTTGAAGTTAAGGTTAAGCAGTGAAGAGAATTTTCTGAAAATGAGAAGACTGATGGAAACCCAGAACATCCTAGCTCTCCTCCCTAAGTCCCACACTTACTGTTAAACTGTCATGGCAGTGCCCTTTCGAGTCAGCTGGTTCCACGTCGAAGTCCCCACTGTGTATGGTCAATGTCACAAAGTAGCCTGGCCTCAGAATCACTCGGTAGTCACACTTTGAGTTTTCTGGATACTGATTGGGATAGTTGGGGCTGGTGATCTCGCCTGATGGCTCAGTAAAGACATTCCCACTGCAGTTCACTAGGATTGAGGAAGGAACATGGGTAGAACTCAGAAAGGAATTCACTCATATATCAAGCAGATAAACATCCCCTCTTCCACTACATCTCCAGTCTCTCAGGTCATATTCATGAACCATGTCACAAGATGCTTATCCTTCATAGAAACTGAAACCAGAGCCACTATCYGATTTTCCAGGGTTGTTAACAACCAGTGGCCTAAGCAATGGTACCTCTAGCCCATCCTTAGGGCTAGAGAACTTCCTGATAAGTTGAAGACAACTTCCTGAAGTCCTCAGTATCAGAGGACAGTTACAGCACATCTTCACTTCTGCTGTCTTGCTTAATTTCTCTTAGTATCCTCTCTTTCTCCATCTTTTCCTTTACTTTCTACTGGTGATTTGGGCCTCTCTCATGCACAGGTCCTCATATTTCACCCCTTTCAACATGACCCATTTCAGACTTTGTTATTTTCTAATTCAAGCCAACCAGCCCTTTGACTATTTTTGGATTTTCCTTGAAGTGCCCTGTTTTTTTCAGGTATTGAAAGATTCACAACTAGCAGGATGCTAGGTAGGATCTCCATCACAGTCTTCAGAAATTTTTATTTAATAGTTTCTTAATTTTCTTTACACAAAAAGATAAGGACATGTTAATGGAAATTCCCCAAGTCACAACCAGTARACAGTGCAGATTTTGCAGTGGCATGTTATTCTTTCTGATACACATTGTTTGTCACTACAGCATCAAGGGTTGATAGAGAAGRTCTTCCAAGTACAGTACCCCACTTGACCTAAATTAGCTCCTGTTGTTGACCACAATGTGTGTAGGCCTCTTACCTCCACATGTTTTCTTATCCTCATAAAGGAAATAATCTGGTGGACAGGTGCAGAAGTAACCACCAATATAGTTATTGCAGTGATGACTGCAAGGTTCCTCCACAAAATCCGTGCACTCATCCAAGTCTGCAAGTGTGAAAAGAAGAGTCAGCCAAGAAGAGGAGAAGGCCGTGAGGGCAGGATAAAGACTGGAAAGTGAAATAAACACCAGCAGACAACAAGGAAAAGAGAGCTTTATGGCAGTATGTAGACTGGATAGCAGTCTTGCCTGCTGGGATCCCTTTTAAACAAGCTATTCTTGTAARGAAACCCCTCGTGTTAGCTTTCCTATCACTCCTAGTCCCAGACACTACAGAGATTCAGAGGAGCCTTACCCACTGCAACATAGTAGGCTGCAAAACCAGTGAAATGTTCCTCATTGGAAAAATCAGATTGGAAGGTCATGGTCAGGACATTATAAGGGACACGAAATTCCTCCACAATTGGTGAACCAGGTGCACGAGGTTTCTTTCGCCCACATAGGACGCCTTCAACATGGACACCAGACAGGATCTGCAGAAGGATGAAGAGTGAATTACACATATTCACTACCAGAATATGTGTAATCATCAATATTTGATTCCTTCAGCTTATGATCAACATTTGATTTGTCAGATTACCAGTGACTTCAAAGTTGCACTCATATCTCAAGGCCTTCAGGCAGATCTCCCAGGGTACTGATGTGTGACATAGATAGCAAGAGATGCCATTCTCACACTAAAGTTGCTTTGTGATCCACAAGGCTAATCAAGAGTGGCCAACATCCAGCAGGGACTGCTGAGATCCTACAGCTGAAGGCAGCTCCAGGATAATCAYTCTCTTGTCATTTGTAAGAAGCTTGAGAGTTCTCAGTTACTGACATCCCAGCCCTGAAATATCTGTCTTAAMTTTTCAGATGCAAACTAATTCAGAAAATTCTGTATTAACATTATCATCCTGAGGCCCATTGGTCCATTTGTATAAAAAATCAACACCAGATCTAAGGCTATGAAACAGCTCCCTGATGGTCTGCAGAGCAGTTTATGAATTTTTCTTTTCAAAAAGACATTTTACTATAGCTCCTACTAGAGCACATYCATCTTGCAAACCCGTGATGGTCTTTCTCCAATGTCTTCTTTTGGTGCTGCACCTGACCTTATTTCCCCTTYTTGCACATAGCCATTTCAGGGCATCAGGACAGGCTAATGTTTGCACAGAAATGCTTGATCTTTAGTGCTTTGTAAGACAACACGGTGTAGAGCTACTGAAGATCTAAGTTTTAAGAAAATTATGTTGCACAGCTCAGAACAGACCACTACACTGGATGTCTTGATCTTGATCTCAGCATCCACTTGATCTCTTAATTTSTTTTCAGCTTTCATAACTTCCAATCAATTTCTGGCCGCATTAAATTGTCTATGTTCACTTATGGATTAACCCTAATTGAAAAATTTCAGAGACGGAAAATCAATGCCCTAAGAAAGTGCTCTTTTTATACGTGTGATTCACTGGTTAAGAATACGTCTGGCGATAGTGATGGTGATGAAGGCTCTTCCTATTGATATAAGATAAACATGGGGACAGGAGCATAGCACTAAGTTGGCAGACAATGTTCATGTGGTTACAAAGAAAAAATACAAAGCTATTGAATCGTTATTAGTGCAGATACACTCAGTATTTTGAGTGCTGAGAACAGGAAGGATGTATCTTTTCTTCCAGCCCTGAGCCTTATATGCAGCTCTGCTGTTCTGTCCTCTACATCATCTTCTTGTCTTTTTCTCACAGGAGGATGGATGGGATACGGTACCTTCACAGAGTCGTATTCACAGTTCTGCGACGGTTCAAGATCCAGGTGTGTGAAATAAAGGTGAATGCCATATCCTGGAGGGACCTGGATTTCCCAGGACTCCTGCACATCATTGGGATACACCTGAGGATAATTGGGGGACAAGATCTCACCATACATGGAGGCTGCATCAGCCCAGACAGGAAGACATAAGAGAAGGTACCTGAGAAAAGAGGAAGGAAAATGACATTGCAGAGATCTTCTCTGCCTAGGGAAAAGTCTGGTGTCCATCTGTATGTAGTACACAGCTTAGCTCCTGGCCTTTGGAGTTGGATGCCCAACGCTGTGGCTGCATGGGGCTGGTCTTTCTCCCCTAGCCTTTCACGGGAAGGGATGCAATCTCAGTCATGCTCTTTGCTCTACTCTTCTGCTCTCTAGAAACTGGGAATGCTGCAGAAGCTGAAGAGGGGAGTCTTAAATGCTATTCCCTACTTTATTCCCTTGTTTTGGAAGCGGTTTGTCCTGTAGGCACAGGACAATACTACAGGAAGGACACCTAACAGATAAAATGAATCTACCAGCAAATCAGAATTCCCCTTGGAGACTGAATAACTCACCACATCTGGAAAAAGCTGATGATCCTTGCTGAAAACTGTCAGGAACTGGACTTTGGAGCTGAAGCCTGAGGCAAACACAGCGTGATTGGTTAATGTTGTCAGTGCTCCTCCGTGCTTCATATGCAAGTCAAAGATCTTAATACCCCAGCCTGGGGGAAATATGCCAACCAATGATTTTCCTCAAAAACAAGTTTTACATCATCACCTCTTCTCGCATGCAGCAATTCCAAACAGCAAGGAGAGATGTTCACCTCAGTACTGACAAAATAGGGACCCCTTCTGCCCTTATATCCATCAGTGTCCCCAAACACCACGCCGATGCAATCTCATTTTATAGCAACTTATCTAAATTTATAGCAACTCCCTCCCTCCCCCCGAGATACTATTTTCACTCCTCCCAGCACCCCAACAATTAGTCTAAGACCATGGGTAGGGGAAATGCATGTGCTGCCCTTCGAGCCGTCACACACAGAGTAATGCTCACAATGTTTTCCTTGCCCATTTCAAATGTTTGCAATATTTACCTTCTCTCCTGGGTTGTGCCTGGTTTTCTTCTCCCTCTTCTTCTCTTGCTTTCTCTTTCTCTTCTTTTCTTTTTGTTCCTGTTCGCCCTCCCCAAACATACCCAAGGCTGCGATGTAGGGAAGACAGCTCTAGTTTGCAATAGCGCAGCACCCCCTATCTGTGGGATGTGGCTTTCCAGTCCTGCTCAGAAGACCTGCTTCTGCTTACCAGTATTCTACAGAAAAGGAGAATTTACAGAACAAATTACACAATTCTGTTGGCTCGGGTTGCACGGGGGAGTACGCAGATCTGGCTTATGTTAGGGATTTTCGGGAAATCAGATGACTTTTTGGAAAAGGGAGGAGAAGGGACTTTTGGGCTTCCCCCTCCTCCCTGCTTTCTCCTCCCCTTTAAAAGTTATGAACAAAGTTCAAAACATGATGAAAAGTACATGTGACAACTAGCCTAATGCTTTTGCACAGAAAACTGTTCTATCATCCACTTCAGGGCGTACTTCCCTGGAATACGCTCTGTGAACGCAACTGGATGGCTAAAGGGCGGCTACCATTGCTCCTCATCTGACATTTCAGAGACCCTCTCCTGGGGGAAAAAAAAGAAAAGAAGAAGAAAAATAGTAGACAAAACAATGCTATGACTATCTGAGGTCACCAAAACAATGCTATGACTATCTGAGGTCACCAACAAGAGGTCAAGTTGTTTTTTGGGTTGTTGAGTTCGTTGATTTTTTGATTTTTTGGTCTATTTTTGCTATTCTTTATGCGGACGCTCCGATAAATAAGTATCTGATTAAGAACTTGTAACGTTCTGTAACTGGTTCTCAAGTGAACTTCGTGTAAGAGCGACGGTTCATCCGACTTAGAGCCGGACTGAGTTAGATCAAAGACCCTCAAGGAAAGGAGTTTCAAGACATGTGCCAGGTAATGCAATCAGTGCCCCCAAGCCAAGGCCAAAATATTCAGTACAAACAAAAAGCCCCACCAGCAACACTTCAGGAAACCCTTCCTGCTCCTCACAAGTCAGTTCTACTGAGACTGGAATATAAATGAAGATGTAAAACCCCACTGGCACCTTGGCCTTTTACAGGCACCACAGCACGCCCCAGAGCCTGTTTTGGCTGGGAAAAGTGATTCAAGTTTGGACAGGCCATAGGCGAAGTGTGTTAACAAAGCTCAAGTGAAAGACTCCTTTATGTTGCCACGGCAGAGAAACACATACAGATGAATCATAACCAACTTATTTGCAGCCAGGATAAAAGTCTTTACTTGAAGAATATACCTTGGCTGTTTTCTTTGCCAAACTGAGTATGGAAAGAGATGAGAAAGCAAACAAAAAACGTGTCATCTCACGCTCTGATGCTTCTTGGGAGCACAGTATGATGCTTCTAACTGGAGCTTTGAAAGCAAAGAAAACAGATTGATGAAAGACAGAGGACCCATCACAGGGAGATACCTCCTCCTCTGGACTGGATGAAGCAAAGACTCTGCCAAAGACTTTTCAAGTTTAGGGTGCAGCAGTAGAATGAGTGGGTGCTGATACCGTGCCTGACATTTCATCACCATGGAATTGCATATTTCTGTGTAAACTGGATTCCACTGGCCTGCAGCAGTGGTAACTTAATATGTGTGTGAATATTAATAATTCTTTAGAAGACATCTACCTATTAATTAGGAAAAAAAAATGCTGGAGTTTTTCTTAAAAATGGTAACTGCATTTTATTAACATTTGCATCATGCTTATTATTTATGCAGAAAACTAATCATATTGATGTATATATTTACAACAAATAAACATACAGTATTTGTTTGCACCTGCCTACATCCATATTGTTTTAATAATTCATAAGATGAAAAAGCTAGTAATAGATTTTATAATGCACTGAAACTATGCACAGGAAATATATTAAAATAACAATTTAAAGGAAGTAAAATCATGCAAGTAATGTTAACACATGATATAATTTTTATAAGTTGCCAGTGCAATATAATTCTGATCGGAGGCACCCGCATTCTATTAAATTCCTTAATTACATGACCACATAATACTTTTTCCCAAAGTGCCCCCGCTTCCTTCATTGCACAAGACAAACCTTTTCTTCAGATGCATCAGAACTGTGCAGTTGTAGCCCTTCTGCCAGCTGTTACGAGAAGCAGTAACGTTCAGGTTTTCACAAAATTACCATCTAAAACAGGTTTGACTGGCTTGTCCTCCCCTAGGAAGCTGGGAAAAAAATAAATAAAAAAAATAAAAGCACCACACTTCTTTTTCTTTGGAAACATTGTGTCATGGCAATTAATAAAAATATTAACTTTTAATATTATTAAAAATCAGTACAATTATTAAAACTAAAAAGCCTTAACTAGGTGAGATCCATCAGCAGGGCATGAGGGATAGGTAAGCAGCAAGTTAAACACCAGCTCCACCAGGACCTTGGCAGTAATTCCTGATTCTCCTTCTCCCAGTAGGATGACATAGAGAGTTCCTTTCCCACCTCCCTTTCCTGCCTTGCTCTTGTGAATGAGGCCTGTTCTTCCATCGGTTTTAGCGGCTAGGCAGCCAAACCCCTCTGTGTGACCCCCTGGGTGCTCTACAAGGGGTGCTTCACCACAGTTCACTCACTGCTTTTACTCCCTCCAGCCTGAAATCTGAACGCCAAGTTGCCACGAGCTCCCAGCAAACCTGGGGCTTGAGGCCGTTTCACACCATGCCCTGCASCGCCCAGAGATGGGAGCTCCCTCACGCCTTTCCAATGCAGCAGCTTCCTACAAAATGCAATTGCAGCATTGCTCTCATGGAGGCCCTTTACCTATAGATGATGAGCACATATGGATGTATGGATGTACACACCCACAAATGGTTGGATCTCGTCTTGAGGTAATTTGAGTTGATTCTACCACTGCATCTTCCCTGTCTCATCATCAGAGATATCCATCCTCATTGCTTGTGGCTTCACTAGTCATCAACTACCAGGAGCCGTTTAGAGTTTGATCTCTTAGAGGAATTTTATTTATTATTATTATTATTATTATTATTATTATTATTATTATTATTATTATTATTATTATTAATTATCTTACAGCACAAGGTTGTAAACTGTGGTGGCTAAGAAGCAGCTATAAGACGAATGAGGTTTTTCTGCAGCAGGCCCACAGGCCCAGTAATTTACAAGAGACAGTCTGGACACGTGGAAATGAAAAATTACTAAATCTTATCTTTATTTGCCAGTTAGAACGGAGCTGCTGGACAGTGTATATTAAGTACAGTTCCGTAACTTCTACGGTGGTAGCAAATGGGATAATGTTCTCCTGCCTGTTTCCCCAAACCTGAAAATAACCAAAMCCCMMAAAAAAAAAAAGTTGGCAGTGACTTGGACGTTAACCCTGAAACCGACCTCTGCTTGTTCCACCTATTCTTGGAGTTACTGAGAGATGGCAGCAGAGATCCGCTCGGCTCTGTGTCGCAGGACAAAACCCTTGGGCCTGAAGGAGGCTGATGACTCCTGCTCAGGTCTTACCAGAAGCTGGAAASGGTGCTGGGCGGCGAGCACTTTCACATGGGCAAGGATGGATTCCCACGAAGCTGATTGCTCTGTTGGGGAACGGGACTGGACTGCTCTTTCCGCCACAGAGATAATATAGTGCGATTCTGGGCAAGTCCCTCAACGGTTACGAGCTCTGGCTTTTCTAAAGGTAGCTGGGCAAGGGCTTGGAGAGTGATTTGCAGACATGTTAAACCTCCRTGGCTACAAAATGGCAGTCGGGGGAGTTCTAATCCAAACATACATAGCGCCGAGCTCCCTTAAAAATAGGCTGCTACATGTCTCGGGTAGGCACCCCAAATCAATGAATTTTCATAGYAATTGTGTCCAAATCCTTCCACTATAAACTGGGGATACTAAAACTCTGTAATATTGGGGAATGAGGGATGGAGTCAGTGATGTCTGGAAAACAAAACAAAAACAAAATCTAACCTCACATTTATTTTCATTTTCCATAAAGTAATGATACATTGTTTTCATACATACAATTCTCTTCCCGTCTCAAATGCCCACTAAGTCCCGTCTGCATTCGTCTTTGCTTTGCCCTACTCCCTCACCTGTCTCATTTCTTTATCTCTAYTGGATCCAGCTACTGCTACTTATAYTTCTGATGAAAATTCATTTTCATGTCTGCCCCAGCTTGTTTTCACAAGCAGTCACCTCTGTCTCCATTTCTTATTAGTTCTCTTTCTCTGCCCACTAGGTRTCTTTGTGTGTTTGTCTGTCTTACTGACCTGCAGGTGCAGACTTCAGTTGGATTTAATTCTATCCTAACTCTTGCTTTTCCAGTATTCTCCTTCCTGATAATTTTCAACTCTAAATTCCACCCCCCAGCTCCAGTCAGTCCCCCTGCCCCTCAGTAACCCACGTTTGTCTCGTCTCACACTGACTGGCATTCGAAACAAGCTAGGCTCCAATGATTGCCAGGTAGAAGTGGATTCTACCTGGAAGAAGATCCTGGATACCTGGAAGAAGTGGATTCTGGAAGAAGATTGCTTGAAAGTCCCAAAGAAGATCTTGAACTATCTGGGGTCATGTGCTGCTGTGGTCCACRGAAAAAATATGTGAACAACTTGAATATGTTTGATTAAAATAAAATTTGCAGAAGCTTTAGCATTTCACCAAATCTAGCAAAGTTACAAGCAATCGAATACAGAATTTTGCAAGGGAAACTGTAAAAGAATCTTAGGAGCAGATGTTGCTTCCTAAATCCTTCACCAACGGCAGTAAATTACAGAATGAAATAAGACAAGTCTAACTGTTCACATGCACTTTCTTTTGCTATACATGTGGTTAACTGACCACAAACAGTACCGTGTATTTTCGTTTATTTTACAAACAGTGGACATTTCAAATAAGTTATCCTATGAGCAAAAGGAGTGTTTCATGGATTTGTTCCCCRAGCTTTTCAGGAACCTGAATGAGCTATACCAGAACTTCACCCATTGCAGCAGATAGTCTCCAACTCTCTCTTTTGCTGCCACCTCAGGATGGAGTGCTGAGAACAGGAGCTCAGGAGGAACCACGTGGAAGAGACTGCCGTCCAACCTGCATCTGTAGCCATTTCTGCTGGTTACAAATGTGGCCTGCAGGACCAGAGAGCCTTCTGATGAAAYGGAAGGGATCTGCTTGGGCAAGAGATGCACCTCTGCAGAAAGCTAAAAGCAAWGCCGTAACCACTGGTGTAACC